TCTATATTCTGTTAAACATCTACAGAAACAGCAAAACAGCTGAATTGTTGAATATCAACTTTGTTCTTCAAATGCTACAGATACTCTGTAGGCGGATTATCCAAATAAAGTGCTACCCACCAAATTAAAAAATGAAATGAATAAATCCTGACCTGCAGTGACCCTGCAGTGACCTCATACTGTTGACACCCTTGATTCTGAGATATTTCTCATTGTAATTATAACTGTCAAACTCCTTATTCTGACTTTTACAAATAGAACATTTAAATGATGATTTGAATATCAGCATTCACAAATAAGGAATGTTAAAAAATCTCAACAAATGAGACTTTATGTATACTAACTTCTTATACTTATTTGGCTGGGGAAAAAAAAGAAAAATTACAATGAAAAACATTTGAACTATTTTAGTCACCATTGAATCAGTTACACGAATGAACAACGCAACAATTTGTACTTTAATACAAGTTATTGCCCTGCTGAAAAAAAAAAATCAAAAACAAAAAAAAATCGCAGCGCCTTACCAGAAATAGGCTATTACTGCTGTAATGGGTTAACAATGACTTACCTGACTGTCTCAGCGGGATCATTATTTTGAGTACATGCTAGCACATTATGGCTTTTATTTCCATTGCACTGAGGGACTGATAAAATGTTATTTTATTATATAGTCTTACTGTCTGTAATAATACCAAATAGATTATTTGTATATCTGGGATTTTAAGACTACTTCTCTTTCTAAATATTTTGGATACGGTTTTGCTTTAGGAGAATATGGAAAGGCATTGGTGATTCCAAAATCAAGACATATTAAGTTAAAAATGACCGATACCTTCCTAATTAACGCATGGGGCTATCATAACATAGATGTTTATTTCATTGAATGACGCGAATACGAGTAAGTAGACGAACTAGGCTCAATATGAGCGTGCCCATTATGCTGTCAATATTAATATTAGCCGGATTTCACAGGATTTCCAGGGCTGAAATAAATGTTTTTAAACTGCTTTACATGGGACATTAATTATATTGTACAATCGTGTATGTATACTTTATAGGTTCTGAACTAAATATAATAATAAACCATTCCGCATTAAACACAGAATCAATAGCTTTAACGTCGTGTTCCCTTTAAATCCGTTAAAGGCAGCGGCACTTTCTGAGAACGTATTTCATTCAGTCTATGTAAAATTAAAAGCCGCAGATCGCGGACAGCGACGATTGCCCCCTAGTGGTAGATTTATTCATATTTTGAAAGCAAAGTTCCAACCTTGCAAATTTTCGGGACCGAAAGCGATTTTAACCCCAAGCGAATGGAAGAACAAGGACATGGATGCATTGTTATAGAGCGAGGTAACTTTGACGCCATTGCAGTTTTATTGCAGTTGAATTTAGAAATTAGGACTGAAAACTATTGAGATTGAAAAGTAAAAACTTCTAAGTTTTGCCTGTATCCCATATCCGCTATACTAAGAGGTCAATTCAAGTTAGACGCAGTAAAATGTAAAATTCATCATAAATGTGAACAAAATATAATAAAAACAACCAATAATAATTTGAACATTTGTTAGATATTAATTCTGCATTGAGCCCACTTCTGGCTTAAATAACTCTATATCTTTGTTCTTCCTGTCAGAAAGGCGGTTATGGTTACGATAGGCTTTGCCATTCCTGCCTTATCAGCCTGTTTACAGCCTCTGCAGCTCAGGTTTTATCACTCCCGGGGCTCCTCTGCCTTCTTATAATGAAGATATGATATCTGGCCTGTATCAGCAGCTCCTTTTCACAGGCTTCCCATCGCCGCCTTCTGTTTTGAAGGGCCGAAGCCCTCTGAGTCCAAGGTGTAGATCTAGTCTCTTTGCAGCAGATGAAAGTCAAAGGCTATCAGTCCACCCTTGAAGCAGACCTGCAAGCCGCATATGCATGCACACACGCATACATGCACACACTCATGCATGCACTCACGCATACATGCACGCACTCATGCATGCACACACTCATGCATGCACACACGCATACATGCACGCACTCATGCATGCACACACGCATATATGCACGCACTCATGCATGCACACACTAAGTACCATCGCAACCTCCCTCTGTCGGGTGACACTTAATTACAGTGTTTCTTTTCAAGAGAACAGAAGATCAAAATGGGACTGAGGGAAAATAACATCAGAAACAGAGACATGATTTTTTTCCATATTATTGGGCGAGACAGTATTGCTGCTTCCAAAATGTTACGACTGTGAGATTTAGTGCAAAGCATGAAGAGTTAAATGCAGGAATGTCTCTCTTGTTTATCCCCTGGATTATTTTTAAGATTAAAGAAAAAAGTTTGTCTCCATTTAAGACATATCTTTCTCCCTAGTGAATTTTAATATTTTTCCATGGCAGATTTCATACCACAAAATAGAGTTAAAACAAGCAAACAAACAGACTGATAGAAAGATGCATGAATTAATCAATTGACTGGTTAATAAAAAATTAAAAAAAAACACCCAAAATCCAGCAAAGCTATATTGCACTTTGTAGTTAAGGACCACAAAAACTAAAAGCGGTGACTGCGAGTGGTGGGGGTGGGGGCACTATCAGAGCAGCCTGGGGGGGGGGGGGGGCATGTATCTGCATATTTTCTCTCCTTTACTTTTCTACCCTGATGTTTGTTGGCCCAGCGTGTATGTATTTTATATCCACTAATGACTAACCACCTAATCAGCACAGGAACTCAGTGAAACTGGTGCACAAACCACATACGCTTACCAACTCTGACCAACTTACAGGTGCAGTTGGCCTAACCCGAATATTTTTGGACAGTGATAGGAAGCTGTATATTTCATTGTCCCCTCCCCCCCCATCAATAAATATGCTCAGGCCCTAATTCCTGACTACACCCGTAGTTGTGTAGCACCCCACTGACTTGTCTGTCCTTTTGATTTTGATTTGTTTTTTTTATTTCGAGTCCTGCCAACTCTTTTTATTCAATCCATCTTCACTTCCTCCCTCAAATAAAGCCGCTGTTCCTTTCTTCCATCCTCATGCTATTTAGTTCTGTTTACCATCCCACAATCTAAAAAGGGTTATGGTTCTATTACAAAGCATTAAAGCACGCAATATCGCATTATAGTGTACCGTATATGTATTGCATTATAACACATTTTGGAACACTTTATATGTTATGTATCATCTTTGACAACTAGACAGTAGTGTCAGCCACTGAATTGGGTATAATAAACAATCAGAATCCTTCGCAAATGATTAAATGTTGCCTATCAACAAATAATTTGACGGATTATTTAAACACAGCTGAACTAATACTCAATCTTCATTTTAACATGATCACCATACTTTAGTTATATCTAGTGTAAGGGAAACCACTTACAATACTGGTATTGGTACAAGTGGTCATGTTTCAATATTCACGAAATATAGGCAACAAGTGACTGGATATTATCCATAATCTGCTGCAAAAGTTAACCTTCACAAGACACCTGCAGAAAAGAATGCAAATGAAGAGGAAATACAAGAGAGGCAACGTCAACTATCCGTTTCAACATCCTCATCCATGTCAGCAAAATACTATTTGTTTAACCTGAGGAGTGATAATCTTGTTGACATATTGATATGTGGGAGAAGATAATCTATGACTAAACGTCTCTTATCAAAAGTAGAGTTATTAAGGTGTTCTGATTTGCTACCACCATTTCTGTTGACTTTAGTAATACTTCAGTGGATCTATATTTAAATACATGTAATATATTTACTTAGCATTTTACCAGAAAACTACAAACAAAAAAGCATTAAGGTCAGAAACTGAACATTGGGTTAATTCCTGCAATATTTTTCATTGCAACAAATCAAAACGTTGAATGCTGAATTTTAGGGGCAACAATAAGAAATGTTCTGCTGGCTGGTAATTTGCATAATGCATATTATTGGCCATCATCATGCAAGGCACCTCCTACACTCTATTCCAGAACACTTAGATTTTATATCGCTTTACAAAGATTTGAATGGGGATTTTCAAACAGCTGAGGTGTTGCTGACTGTCTGTGTGAGTCTGGGATATGAATCCTTCCCAGGGGCTCAACTAGACATCCATTCATACATAACTCCTCTCTTTAATGGTCCTAGATGGAACTCGCGCCATAAGCTGGAGAATGACCCTCCCCCATTAGCGGACCTTAGCGGCCATCAAGCCTCATCCGCACGCATTGTGTTGAGAAACTCAAATTGGTTTATGCACTGGGAGAGTGCCTGGGTTTGCAGTGTGGCCTGGGTTCGCTCCACAGGACCAACTGGATAATTTTAGTCGAAAAGGAAAGGTCACTCGACTGAGATGCAGAGGTAAGAGAGGTAAAGGTGCAAAAGCGAAGGCATCCCTCTCAGTATCCCAAAAGGCTCTTAGGCGTGTCATGACACTGCATTAAGAACGCCCTCTGAGGAGAAGAGCTGAATAACTACTTATACAACAGGTGTCTCCTGCCACATGTCTTATCTCAAAGGGCACTCACAAGGCTGACTGCTAATCTGATTCTTTTAGTAAATAGAGTTGGACTTTTTTGCATTTAAGAGGAACAGGAACACGTTCTTCAGACTATTGCGCAAACTATTGTTAAAAGTGATGATAATTTGAATATGTGAATAAAATAAAATAATAAAAAATTTGTAAGAGTTTTATCAGCATATTAGTACTAGAACATTATATTATTATTTGTGCATTATATTATTGAGTATTAAATCGTTTCGTTGGTTGTGAGAGTAGTACCGTTATCATAAGGTGTTCATATAAATTCTCTTGAATGCGTGGTAAACGCACGTTAAGTAGCACATTTTATTTTTCAACGAGCAGTTTATTAAGGGTGAAGGACATAATAAGCATTAGAAGCATTAAAAATATCACTTTACTTACTTGCTCACCTGATTCCGCGAAACGTCAGTTTGACTGTGAGATGCGGTGATGCTTTCGGTTTCGTTATTGCTGTGCAGGTACTCGTGCCCAGTGTCGTGAGACTGTGCTCGGAACGGTCTCTGTCTGACTTTTACGACGTAGCCTGTATTAGGTACAAAGCGGCATCCTTATAGACCCCGAGTACTGTAGCTAGGTAGCTAGCTAATAATCCTTCAATTAAATATAGTTGGACTAGTAACTCCGTTTTTAGCGACTGACAAAAAAGAAACGATGGAAACTTTTTATGAGGACGCCAGAAGGCTTTTGGACGGTAATTTAACGCATCGTGATTGTATATAACTAAACAAGCTAGCTGTATTAATATTCTGAGCTCTAGTCTTGTTACTCTGTGGCAATTAAACAGCATGTTTAGTAAATTGTGGAAATCAACTGTCAGAGGCTCAAAAAGGACTACTGTTAATTAAACAAACTGCATCCTTTCTGAAAATTGTGAAAGTTTTGTGTAGCTTGAACTTGTAGGCCTATGATTCTGTTCTGAAAGATACATATGATATGCTTTAAAGGCGTGATATCTATTAATTTGCTGATTTATTTATGTACTTTTATACCCATAAGGAACGAAGTACATTGGATAACATAAGAATTTTTTTGGATGGGGTGCATTTGTGGTCGGTTAGGTGTAGTCTGGGGCTTTACATAATACATTTCAATAATTTTGAATATTTTATTTCCTGGATCAACTGCAGTACTTATGAAATGTAGAACACTATTGTTTAGGGTTGCTAAAACTGTGTATTTTGCATCATTGTCTGTTAAATAAAATAGAATTTATTGTGTAGAGGTTATACGGAGAATATTTTTTAATATTCTCCGTAAGTGAATCTGCTTTAATACAACACTTTCGTCTGTCTAGTGTGAAATGTCGCCAACATTTGCATTGTCTGGAGAAGCATGCTGTTCATCCGCAATAATTTACATGGTTGCAGATATTTTCTAATTTCAGAATGACAGTAAAGATGTTGTGAGTAATACTGCTGACTTTTTTCATTTGTAAAAAGAAGTTTACAGGATTAACCAGAGCATAAAGGTTAATTGAGACAAGTTCAAGTCAGAAGTATATCACAGGTTTCTGCCATTGTTTGTGTAGATTTCTGTAGGTTTCCTGCAGATACTCTAGTCCAGGGGAGTACAGTTGCCTGTTCCCTGTGATGGACTGGCATATCTTCCAGGCTCATGCCTTGCCTTGTGCCCTATGCTGCCTGGGATAGGCACCGAGCCGCCCGTGACACTACTGGAAAGATGTTTGGATGATGGATGGATTTAAAGATCGTTCCAGTGATTTTACTTAAACATCGTCCCCAGATAATAATACAACTGTCAGTTGACAATTTCAGTAACCAGGGGTAGTCCATCCATCCATTTTCCATACCCGCTAGTCCTATTCAGAGTCGCTGCAGTCTGGAGCCTCTCCTGGAAGCTACGGGTGCATGGCAGGGAATAACCCAGGATGGGCACCAACCCATCGCAGGGCACACTCACACCATCCACACCTGCAAATAACATGGCAACTCCAACTTACCTCAGCATGCTTTTGGACACCTTGACGACATGGGGAGAATATGCAAACTTCCCACAAGTAAAGCTGGGGGGGGGGGGGAGACTCAAATCTTTGCTCCAGAGGCAACGGTGCTAATCACTGTGCCCCTGTACCCCCCCTCCAGAGGTGGTGCAACTGTCAAATGCAATAAATGCACATCTATCGGAATGTTTAATTAGCTTAATCATGATCAGTTCCTTTTTAAATGATCAGTTTATAATGTTAACTAGGCATTTTAGATACTGGGATCAGTAAGAGAGCAAATGAATGCAATCAGTCAGACTGTAGCTTTAAATTTAAACCCACCGACTGACATTGTTTAGTCAAGAAAGCATGTCCCTGCTGTTGCAATTGAAATCAAGAAACTATTAATGAAATACAATAGACACATTGTTATATGTAACAGTAAGTAATGTTGCATGTAGTGATTTGTAAAGAAATGGTTTATAGATCATATGAAATGCCGCTTGTTAGCTCAAAATGGTGGTCGGTGGTGTATATTTTTGACTGGCCAGGCCACCATACTTATGAAGCCTTTGGGGAAGTCATATGGTTTCATGCTTGTTTTCTTAAGTGAAGTGAAAAATTGTCACTGTTGACACACAGTGCACAATAAAATGTGTCCTCTACATTTAACCCATATGTGACATAGCGGTGGGCGGCTGTTATTTATTATTTAACGGATATTTAAAGGAGCAGCACCCAGCTGAAGGTACCTCAGTGGTCCCTTGCTGGTTGGGGATTCAAACCAACCTTTCGATCACAAGCATGCTTCCCTAACTATTTGGCCTCCAGTGCCCAAGCTTTGTAGACCAGATGTGTTCCCAGTTCACACTGGAACCGTGACCCACATAGACTGGGTGGGCCCATCTGGATGTATTTTATAAAAAGGAGAATCTCAAAGCAGTCAAACTGCATCAGTGTTATTAGAGTGTTAAATGTTACCTGAGCTATCATGTTCCCCATAACATTAGACCTTAGTGTGTGATATTCAGATGTTCCTCTCTCTTCCAAAGCTGATGAATGTCATCAGGACACATATCTTAGATTTTGTACCTTCTGTTTATCACATATTACACTGGCATTCCATATAGATATCTTATTTTGGTGTCTGTCGGTCTTCTCAAACCTTCTTTATCCCTGATCAAGTATGTCTCCAGTAAAGAATGAGAACTTTTTTCAAGCTTCTCATGTGTTCCTTTACAGTAGTTTTTTCTTGATTTTTGTCAGTGATTCATAGAACTTGTTTCGAATGAAGACTAAGGGTTTCTCTATCAATTAATCAGATGTGGCACGTGTGTATTTTCATATATGCATCATGTGTTTGGGTTGCCTGGATCAGATTTTTTCCCCCTATGTCACAGTTTCCCGTTATTGATTTGACAGACACTGATTATCAGCAGCAGCCAATTCACATTTTATGTCATATAAACCATAGAGTGCTGACTTTAATAGTGATCGTTCTCAGGGTTAACATATCATTACAGTTAGTGCTGGAGATGGCGTTATTTTTCATCTTCCAAGCTGATATAGGGAGGGACTACATGTATTGACCAGAAATTGATTCAAAATCATGCTTGTATAGCATGGGCAAAAAGTTTAGAAATTTTGACCTTACTTGAGAATAACTATTGTGTATTTATAGTATGTTGACAGGGTTTTCCTAAGATGTGGTTTTTCACTTGTTTCAGACTGTGAGCTGTTTGTAACGGAGATCTTACAGGATGAGAACCTCAGCCAGAAAGCCAGTGAGGCACGAGAAATCCTGCTACGGAACTTCCGTGTGGTCCATTCCAGGTGACGGTCCTCAGATACTGATCTCAAGGGGGGTGAAGGCCCAAACTTCCTTGATGGAGTACAGCCGAGACGGTTGATTCACCCTCAATCCACACAACTCATGACGACTTGTCGTGAAGAAAGTCAGACTTTCTGCTGTACTTTTTATTTTTTTCCATACTTTGAAAAATTGAACCAACCCATATACATGTATTCATAGACATACAAATACACCCACACAAGTTCACAAACACGCAGTTCATTTTCTTTGTCTACAAGAAGTAATGCTTGGACCCAAAGTCAGAAAAACACAATTATATGAAAAATATTCTCATAACTGTTTATTCGGTGGGAGAACTTGTCATGCATTTTGTTAGAAATGAAATAGCATACTAGCATTCTCCGTTGATGTCCTGAGCTGATATCAAAGATCGGAATTGGTGCTGATCCCGGCATATTTTAATTGATGAATCAGTATCAGTGACCACACCCCGATCCTAGACCCAATCTATTTAATTTTCCACGTCCGCCTAATTTACTTAAGTTGCACAGATAGTAAGGTTCCATCACATGCTGCAGTAAACCTGATGCACATGGCTTGAAACCACAAACTATCGAGCTGTCGTCCTTGTGATGTTTGCAATGCCATGCTTTGGAGGGGTGGTTGTTTAATACAATGAATCTATTTGCAGTAACATCATAAGGAAGTATAGAGTGAAATTGTGAGGCTTACTCGGATGAAAAATGTATTCTTTTAATTAATTTATGAGGAGAATGCCTCTGTAAATTGGAATCAGTGCAAGTTATTGAGAGAGATTGCTCTGAAAACGTAGTCAAACAATCCACATAGGAATAGGGATGTAACTCTTCTGGGAGGAAAAGAATGTATGCTGTTTTTCATTGACAATATAAAAATCAGTCAACGCTATTATAAGTTCATTGCAAGTTTTATTATTAATTGAGGGAAAAATACATCCATGATGTTATTGCAAAAAAAAATCTTGAACAATTTGATAGAAACTCATTGTTTAACAGCTGAAGCTTATTTGTAGTGTTACACCCATAACAAAATACTAGGTTCCTGACAACATCGAAAGCCATGCTGGCTATGAAGAAAACATGTTAAGTAAATTTGAAAGCTTGAGCTGAAAACGAAATGTGTTGATCCCAAAATATAAAAATGCAAAGAATCATGTAGTGCACAATGAAAGACATTTGAAAGCGCTTTGTCTTTGCTTTGCGTAGATGATGAAGCTCATCTAAAGCTGCTTCACAGCTTTATAGGCCAAGTGCTTCAACTCTGTAAAAACCGCAGTCAGCATCTACCCAATCGCTAACATGTCTGTAGATCCGCGCATCCAGGTCCACAATGTCTGAGCCAGGTGTGGGCCTGGAGTTTGTATTTTGTGTTTTCGTCATCTCACCAATGTTTAGTTTGTTAAACTGCCAGGGTTTCTGGGTTAATTTGATGCTCCGCTGTTTGATGTTGACACGCGGGTCAGCCTGACATGGCTGCTGTCGATGGCAGGTGGTAGAGATCGTGCCTGCTTTCTTACACAGGATCTTGAAAAACTTGTGCTTTGACTGCACTTGTTTTCCCCGTTGTTCAAGGGAGGATGTGGTTTTGTGGCCTGTAGTTTGTATTCTGTCACAAACTCTTTGTTTTATGTTTTATTGTTCACAAGTGTTCATTTCACATACATCGCATAGTAGAGTTTTATTAGTTTAAAAAAAGTGAGAACTTCAAATTAAGTTGCAATGACAGAATAAACCATTACATCTATTGGATTATGATGACAGAATTAAATATAACGTTGGATTCTAGAGAACTATGATTGCCAATCATATTTTAGTCTGCCTATCATAGTATATCATGAAATGTGTATTTTAGAGAAAATTCTACGGTGTATAGCAGCCGTTTGATATACCACATTTGGCCTAGTTAAACTAATTTAAATGTGATTCTTCTAGTGAGGACACAGAACCCACATTGCCTACTTTTTCCCACTGAGATTTGGTAATATACTTTTACTGCATAAATTACTGTACATTGAGATTTACTGCTGTTTTAACAGGTCACAGAGGGGAAGCAGGGTAGAGGAGAAGCTATTTGAACATTTGTAAAACATAATTTACTGTCTTACACTTGACATTGTTCAGGAGTCAAGATGTCCATCACTGCAGTATATTCTGTAACAATAAAAAACTAATATTTCCCATGTGGAAAGAAGTCTTTTAATTTACACTGATAGACTGGAGGTAATGGGGAAAAATGTGTTAGATTCACTTGATAGTATTTGACTTGTAAGGTAGTATTTGGTAGTAGTTAGAAGCACTTGGTACTATTTCGCTTGTAAAGTAGTATTTGGTAGTAGTTAGATGCACTTGGTAGTATTTAGCTTGTAAAGTAGCATTTGGTAGTAGTTAGATGCACTTTGTAGTATTTGGCTTGTAAGGTAGTATTTGGTAGTAGTTAGATGCACTTGGTAGCATTTGGCTTGTAAGGTAGTATTTGGTAGTAGTTAAATGCACTTTGTAGCATTTGGCTTGTAAGGTAGCATTTTTTGAAGGGTGTTTTTCAACAGATGAAAAAGTGAACTTAAGAAGGCAGTTGGAGCTGCTTATCCTGGTCAGGGACACAGATGGGCCTGGAACCTTAGACAGCAAAGGGGGAAAGGCTGGGGTCCACCTTGGACAGGATGCCAGTCCATCACAGGGCACAGACATGCACTGCATCGGCTATTCACCTTACTGTATATTTTTGGACAGTGAGAGGAAATGTACATGACATGGGAAGAACATGCACACTCCAGATACACACATCAGATACACCTAGATGGCTTTTGCAAAGACGCTGAAGTAGTCGTGGTACTACTGAAAGTTTATAAGTCAGTTATAAGATTTTAGGCCTTTTCTTCTTGAACAGCAACATGTGTGAGTAACGTCAATAACGTTTATTTTTTTGTTTTTTTGTGTTATATGTATGGATGTATTCCCTTCAAGTGCGCCTGAGTACATGTATAGAATATAACTACTAGTGTTTAGTGTTGATGAATGCAAAATCTCATATACAAAGCATATGCATACAATTAATGGTGTCTTCTTGTTTATGCTCTGGGACATTTTTTTTTCTTCAAATATAATGACATTCCATGTATATTTACATATTGACCCCTGAACTTCTGGAAAAGTACATGTCAGTTAAATGTGTCGTGTTTGTCATGTTCTTAATGCACTGACACAATTACTGAGAACTCAGGCAAACAGCTGGCAAACACACGTACCTAAAAAGCAGACTGAGGCCTATAACTGAGGCCACAACCAAACAAGTGTGACAGAAAGGACATTATATCCAAAGGGAAGGGCTTAAGTTGGCTGGGACTAGCAGTGCGTAAGTGTCTAACAGAAATGGGTTTTCATTGGGGTATACTGAGAGGTGTCCTTCTCCATTTGCGTTTTGTATAGGCGTAGCAAAATGAGTGCAGCACATGCTGATTACACTTTGAAATGCAATATTACTAAAGTGTGGAAACCAGCATGCTGAGGAAGTAGCACAGTAGCATTACAATTAATCTCCAGAGACCATCACCCACTCTAGTTACAGAAAACGCTTTGTAAGATCTTTAAGTATGTAGCTGATGTGCTTCCATACCCTTTTTGCGAAACAAATTATTTTCAAATAATCTAAAAATAGTATACATAAAAAATAAACTTGCATTTTAGCTTTTTAAATTCATTTAGTTAATGGACCTTCAAGGCTCAATCATTAAACAGGCTGGAAAAATACAAACCAATGAAACACTTCAATAGCTTAAACCTTCATAAGAGCCCAAGACACACCTCATGGCCCTAAATTCTCCCAAGCTACTCAGTTAACCCAGTTTAACCCCTGGACCAACTTAAACTGGATCAACTAGGTTTCATTAGTTGAGGTATGTGTTAGTTATCAGTTGCCATGGGCATATGAGCAAGCAGCTTGATTCAGTCTTTTGTGGTTGTTCAACCTCTTGTCGGCTGTTTTCTAATTGCACATGTAAGGTGTATGTAAAGAAACATTAAGTAAGTTGCATGCATAATGTATTCCTCTTATACTCACAGTCACTCAGCCCTCTTATTGTGTTAACTATACTAACGGTATATTCTATGGCAGCTGTATGGCTGAATTTTTTTTTCCTGTTGACTATTAATAAAATACCTCATCCAGTTGTATATAGTGTATATATAATTAATTATAATTTTCCTCTTCTTTTCTCTTTTCTGCAGAAATCCTCTGGATTTTCCCTCCAGATGTGAGTAACTCACTTTTAATGAAAATAATGTTGTGATTTTATTTGCGCAGAAATTGAGTTGTCAGCTTCGGTGGTCTTGGTGTGGAACCTGAAATACTGTATGAACCACATCAATGTCTTGCATGATGCAGCTACCCTTCAAAATGTGATTAGAACAATACCATGAAGTTTTAAAGTCCTTAATGTCGCTTGCTTGAACTGTTGTGCAATTTGACATAAGTGACCTTGGCACAATGTGGAGATTTGTGTATGTTAAAGTGGTTATTACGATTTTTATACTATTTGTGATGATGGTACATACCATTCTGCTTGAGCAAAGTTCTGCTGCTAAGGGTATTGCTTCTTTTATACCGCATACAATGCTGGCAGGAAATGGAGGAAAAGAAATGTCATTGTCTTTGAAAGTGAGGTCACTGTCGGCTGTGTGAGAAAAATGTATCATGTAACAGTGGTTCCTCTGTTCTGTATATGTAAATGCAGGCACGTCACTCTTCTCCCCAGAAGCTATTTCTTGACTTTTTCTCTTTGACACATTGTGTGACAATTAACTGAATTGTATTAATATCTGTTGCAACCTCTGAAGTATAATTTACCAGCGGGCTTTTGTCAAGTGGCTCAGCAGATCAGGTGCAGATGATTTTTGAATAAGCTCTGGGTAGCTGTAAAGTGCTTTGGTGATGTTCACAAAACCTAATTATAGCAGAAATCCACAAGGGCAGAGAATATCTATGGTTATATTGGAAAAACTTTCCTAAGGGCACCTTGTACCTCTATGTAGCACATTTTTTCGTTTAATTCAGTACATTCTTCAGTTATTCATTTGTGCAAAATTTGTCTCATGTTATTTATTTTAATGTTACAATTGTTAGTTATTCTTGTTAGAATAAAGTGAATACTGCTGTTTTGCATGAGTTAGAGTCAGGGTGCACGCTCATTCACACTTATAGTCGTATGCGTGTCATATGGTCGAAATATTAAATGCAGAAGGAATGGACAGGCATAAAGATCTGAGTGACTTTATAAAGGGCAAATCATTATGATCAGACAATTGGATCAGAATATCTGACAAACATCAAGGCTTGGGGGGGGGGCGCTCATAAACATTGTGAGTGACTGGTGAGGAGGGGAAAACCACAAACTGCTTCCAGCGTGATGGGGGCAGCCAAGGCCATGGATCTCACCGGTTGGTCCAACGCATCCCACAGATGCTCGATTTGTACCCGTCTGTCCACATGATGCAACTGAAAAACGGATTCATCAGACCTGGAGACCTTCTTCCATTGCTCCAAGGTCCAGTTCTGATGCTGGCATGCTCATTGTAGGTCAGCATGGACACTTTGACTGGCCTTCAGCTACCCAGCCCCATTCGCAGCAGGGCTCGATGCCTGTTTGTCGTGACACGTCACTCCCTATAGCCCTTATGTTGGTTTGTACCAGACGCACCCTCATTCACACCCCGCATCATATATGTCTAATCTTGCATTATTGGGTGAGTCCATTGATGTCTTCTTTTAAGATGTTGTTGCACTGCAGTTGTGCGGTGATAGCGTGTTGTAATATTTAAGTTCTGCAGCAACTGGATGTTCATTCACTTTAAATATCAAGTGCTCCCATATAACTGAGGCTTTCGCTCTCTTTTTATTTGGACCCTCATCTGCTCCGTCTTTCTCCCGCCATATTGGAGTAATTGTGAAGCCGAATTTTAATCGATGCTTTTTAAAAAATTACTAAGCAAGTTTAATTGAACTGAAATGCGGCTACTTGGATCTAACCAGAAATAATGTAAGAGGAACCATTAGTTTGCTGCATATTGTTTATATTCTGTTATAGGATATTCCTTTTCACTCTTCAGAGACAAAAACTGAAAAATAGAAGCGTCTTGGATATAGGTCTCTCAGCATATATGCCCACAATAAACTAATACCACTGGAGCCAAGTCATTTTTCTTTACTCTAGTTTTAAAATAGACACAATTAATTTAAGGAAACCTTGACAATCATCAAAATGACTGATGGTTTTGTGTTTTTTTTGCTGTTGAATTTGATCCCTATGTAGATACTGTACCTGGGCTACAGCCATTGTCATCGCTGATGTTTAAGAGAATCATACTTTCGTTTGCCCTGTGACAGACAGGGACCCTCTGAGGATTGTCTCCTTGCTTGTGCTCTGTTCTTTCTTGAATGGACTCCATTATCACTGCAATCTTGTGCTGAATAAAAGGTATAGAATATAGATGGGTATTATTTGAGGTGTCTACATTCATCCATCCATCCATCCTTTCATCCATCCATCCATCCATCCATACATACATACATGCATTTTCCATATCTGCTTGTCCTATGCAGGGTCATGGGTGTCTGGAGACTATCCCAGAAGCTATGGGCGCAATTCAGGGAATAACCCAGATCGGGACACCAGCCAGTCGCCGGAGGTGTCTACAATTGGCCATATATTACGAGTTATTTCTGCCTTTGCCTTTTTCCAAGTTATGTATAATCTGTCTCTTTTACATAAGGATAAACTAAATGATTCACAATTTTTCCAAATTTCCTGAAAACATCAAAAATGTAGTATTTTGTATCTTGCAATTTATTAATGTATCAGTGTCATTGTATCAATAATTTATCATATTCAGAGTCTATAGGTATGATAACTCAAGGTAAATGCTTCCTTTCACAATAGTACACCTGTCAGTGTAATTTAATCTTTTCAATAGAACAATTTCAGTGCTTTAACTCACTGCTGTTGTCTTACGGCTTGTATAAACTGCAGTAGCATCAGTGATCTCACCTTGCTAATAAAACTGTAATTAGAAAATAACCAGATAACTCAATGTAAAGCCATTTTCAACCCCAGATCAGATTAGCACATAGCCTTACAATGCATTTAAAACCTGCCTCGAGACTCTGAGACTGCAAAGTCACGAATGGTGAAACCGTTAATGAGGAGGAGGTATATGGACTTAGTTATTTATTACTTCCCATTACAGCGTAATTGCTAAATTATACTTGAAAAATGGGTTTAATCATTTTATTAATTTTGCCTTGTTTTGGATGAAGGTACCAACCATGAATCCAGAAGGTAAAAACATTTTGTTTTACCAGAGATATACAAATGAATTTTATACTTCTATTATTGTTTTCTTTTATTGGTGCTCTTCTTTGCAGTACTAAGCGTAGTACTAATTACCCAAGAAATTCACTAAGCAATAAATTTTGTTTATAAACAATTCCTTGTTTATTTATTATTTAAGTAATAACCAGATATTTGACGTTTTATGTGATTTGCAGGAAGTGATAAATGCAAAGCCAGGTAAAAAGTCAGGTAAAAAAAGTGAATCTAACATGATAGTTCATCCTTCTGACTTCTGACCCCTTGTCCAGGTTGGGATCTCTGAGTCTCAGAGCAGGTTCCAGGCAGCAAAGGGCAAAAGGCCGGGGAACACTCCTTCATGGGATGCCAGTCTATCACAGGGCACACACAGAGACACACACACGCACACGCACACATAGAGACAAACACAGCCACCACATACAGACACACACATACAGACACACACAGTCAGCTGTTTAGGGATGCTGGTTTATCTAACTCAGTGTTTCTTAAACCCGGTCCTTGGGGACCCCCAGACAGTCCACATTTTTGCTCCTTCCCAGCTCCATAGGAAGTAAAATGGAGCAAAATGTGACCTGTCAGGCAGGGAGCTGGGAGAGAGCGAAAATATGAACTGTCTGCAGGTCCCCAGGGACCGGGACTAACTTCATGAAAACCCACGCAAAACAGGGAAAATCATGCAGATTCCATCAGCACAGTGCGGGATTCAAACCCAGAACCCGGGAGGTGTGAGGCTACAATGCAACCCACTCTATTATCATGTCATCCATTGCGTTTACATGGGGTGAGGAGAAAAATTCAGTTTATCTATCCATGAAACATTGGTTGTCACTTTATACCTAACCACATATTTTTGGGCTGTGGGAGGAAACCAGAGTAGCCAGTGAAAACTGATGTGAACGCAGGGAGAATGTGGACCTGCACAGCCTGAGAACTGAGGCAGCAGTCAAACCCACCACCACAGAGATGTGAAGCAGCAATGCTACCATCAAGTATCCACATTCACAGTGAATAAACATATTTAGATGTGTACATGAACAATTACATTATTATACTTTTCCCTAAGGGATCTACCAGTGGGTTTGCTGCTTCCTACCGATGAAATAGACAGAGGTAGTGATAGCTTGCAGTCTGCTCCATGGTGGTCGAGAGTGCCCCCGGTGGAGAAGATTAAATTGAAACAAAAATTTGTGTTAAAAGCTAATTTCTTCATCTCAGTTTCTTTAGCAGAAATAGCTGAAAGGACATTCTGTAATTCCTTTGCTTATTTCATTCTACTTTGGTGGAATAAAGCAAAGTTGTCTGTAAAACAGCGGGTCTCTAAGCTGAATTTTCTGTTTCTGTGGCAACATATTACAACTCTCCTCCGCGTGCATTTCAGCATTTTCAAGAAAAAGCAGGACTTGGTCAAAAAAAGTACATAAAATGTGATCAGTAAGTGCCAGCAGTTTATTCTCTGATGCTTGGCTGAGAGACGGGATAATTCATCATCATCATGGAGTGTGCTTTTGCTATGCATTACCGAAAGACTTACCTAGTGTGACGCTCACATGTGTGATGAAGAAATGAGCTCGCCAGCTCATAGCGGAATATGAATAAAAGGCAGTAGCACAAAGCAGCTCTTTTTTTTTTTTTTTTACAAGATCAACAAATCCAGATAAAGTTGTCCTCAAATATTACATTTCTGGTTGACACACTTCCCCTTCCATAAGGTTTCTGCAACATGTGACATGATCGTTCAGAGATGCTGTATCACATGACATAGCTGTACTTTTTTGTTTTTTTTTTTTTAAGTGGAGAAATTGAGATGGAGTGTGATTTTTATCTCACGGGGAATAATCTCCCACACACACAGCACGTGAAGCCTCAGGCTTCCAAGAGCACTG